ACCCCAAGCCCTAAACCCTAAGCCGTTTAGTAAAAGGGGGAAATGATTTCGGGGCTTTCGGCCTGAAGACTTCAGCAAGTTCGGCTCTGATGAGGGTTCTCCTATCTGCAACCCTAGCAGGCAGCTGATGCATACTGTAGAGGCCTTCATACTTAGAATAGGGTTTTNNNGGAGCCCTCAAAATAGTATTGGTAATGATTTAGGCTTTTAGAACTGTTCCCATTCCTGCAGCCCTAGCCGAAGCCGAAAACATACTTCCTCAACCCTGATTCGCTGATGCTTGAGCCCTGCCCTAAACCCTACTTGGAGGTTCATGGGTAGCCATAAGTGGGGTTATAAGCAGGGTAACTAGACTTACAGCCCATCGTAGTGGACTTCTAACCCCACTTAAAACTACCCTAAAACCCTCAACACCATAGAACCCTCCAAGGAACCCTAAACCCTTATAACCCCCCTTACCAAATACCCTAAAGCTTCAACCCCTTAAAGGAACCTCCAAGTAAACAGCGGAACTCTGGAGCCTGCCCTCATCCTCAAACCCCTAAAATACCCTAAACTCTAAACCCTAAATCCTAAACCCTAAAGCCTAAACCAAAAACCCTAAACCCCAAACCCTAAAGCCTGAACCCGACACCCTAAACCCTAAAACCTAAACTCGAAACCCTAAACCTCAAGCCCTAAACCCCCAAAGCCCTTCATCGTAGTGGGTCAAACACCTAGTCTCGGTTCCAGTGAGTCGTCGCCATAGGCATCCATCTGTCTATCTATAAATATACCCATCTATCTGCTATCTATCCATTTAAGCTAATCTATCCGAATCTAATCTAACCTAATCTAATCTAGCTATCGGCCTGTCTGTCTAAGTCTGTCCATACATTTATATATACACATCGAAGCAGTCGTACAGAGTCTAGAAAGAGCTACCAATAAGATTCAGATAGATGTGGGTGCGGCTATTGCTTGTTCGATTCCCGTGACTTCTGATTGGCCTTGTACCAGTGACCTCCGCGTAAGAGAGATATACAATCCCCCCGGCTTCAGTTAGCGCATGCCCTAGCCCCCAAACCCCAACCGATCTTCCCCACAACACCCCAAAACCCGAACCTAAAGATCTTCATGCGAAGGTCCTCGCAAAGCACATTGCCCACCTCTTCGCGCGGGATCCGCTCGCCGCTGCGCAGAAAGGTTTAGGGCTTCGGCCCCAGCGACGTCTTTTGGAAGCTTGAGATTGAACCCCTAGCCGCCCCTAGCTTCCCGAACTCCTGTAGACTCCTAAACCCTAAACCCGGCCTAAACCCTAAAACCCTAAACCCTGAAACCTGTTCTCTAAACCCTAAACCCTAACACCATAAAGCCCGAAGCCCTAAAACCAGAAATCCCTAAACCCTAAACCCTGAACCCAAAAGCTGCAGATCCCTAATCCCCCAAAGCCGCAAGCCCGAACGAGCGATCAACTTCATAAGCCGCTCAGGTCGAGTCAATCTCAGCGGTTCATGGCTTGTTCGGCTTTCGGGTTTGGGGGTTTGGGGTTCAGGAGCTTTGGGGTTCAGGGTTTAGGGTTTCAGCGTTTAGGGTTTAGGGAACAGGGTTTAGGGGATAGGGTTTAGGCCGGGTTTAGGGTTTCGGGTTTGGGGGTTTGGGGTTCAGGAGCTTTTGGATTCAGGCGCCTTAGGCTTAGATCTCTAGGCTAGTGGAGTTTTCGTCCCGCCCACCGCCGGAGAATTACGCCTAAAGCCTCAAACTCGTCTAGAAGCCCTTGTAGAACCCTTCTAGAACCCGTCAAAAGGATCCATGTAAAGAAGCCCCATTCAGGCCCTATTATAGTTCTGAATGGGCCCAAAAGGTGATCTTTGAGGACCGTGTGGAGCTGGATGACAGCCGACGCCCGGCTGCGTCCACTGTTCTGCGAGTGCATGACGAATTATGTCTAGTATTCGAACCCTAAACCCCAAACCCTAAACCCTAAACCGTCCTCGAGGGTTCTTGTGGGTTGACACAAGATGCTGCAACAGAAGCTATTCCAAGCTCTGGAGCCCTAGTATTAAGGTGCAGGCGGTTGCGGGTTAGGGTTTAGGGTTTAGGGTTTAGGGCCTGTTTGTGGCTGTGGGCTGAGGGAGTGTGTTGTTTCGCGGCTGTGCTGGTGCATCCAAAATCCCAACCCTTCAAGTCAACACCCCGCAACCAAATTCAGCACAGCTCAACCCCAACGAAAACCCACATGCCCTAAACCCTAGACGCTGGAACCCTCAACGCCTCAAAACGCCTCATGTTGGGCCTATGGAACCTGCCAGCATTGGTATGTCGGTCCTCACGAAGTTATGCCGCAACTCCCGACTCCCACTCGAAGTCGAAGTCGTAAACTCCTAAACCCCGAAGCCCTACACAACCCTAAACCCATAAACCCTCAATCCCTAAACCCTGAAACCCTAAACCCTTAAACCCTAAAACCTTAAACCCTAAAGCCTTCAAATCGAGCATGTTCAGGTGACATCGACCACTGGGAGAATCTCCAGTCCACCAACTGGCAGTCCCTCCGCTGGAAGCCTCCTCCTCCCCACAAGGCGGTACTTGCCAGGGTGGAATCATAGGGACCCCAAAGCGGGGTAAGGGGGAAAGGGTAGGGGAATATACTTTGTTGAATAGGCCTTATTGGGTCCTTTTGTACAGGTATTCAGATCCCTAAACCCTAAACCCTAAACCCTAAACCCTAAACCCTAACCCCCCTCAAAGTCCTCTGATGAAAAGTACCCGGGACTTCAGCATCACGTCAGTTTGGAATATTCCGTAAGCCTGGGCAAGAAATCCCATATAGTGTAGGGTTTAGGGTTTGGGGTTCCTAGAGTTTTAAAAAGTTAAGTTTAGGGTTCAGGTTTCAGAGTCTCTGTTTAATTGCGGTTCAATGCAATACCGAGGGAAAATTAGACACTTCGTTGCGTGGTGTAACAATAGCTTCCGGTGTGACAACGACCTATCCTGCACCCGACCCAGAATCCCGAAAACTTAAAACCTTAAACCCATACCCTGAACGCTTCAGCCCCTACATGAATCGCAGTCACATCCCAAGTCTGGCCATACTTAGCGGGGTGCTGCACCAAATAGGTTCCCCAGTAGTACTCTTTTGCCCTTGTTCTTATTCGGTTCCCTTGCTAACACCAAATAGTAGGAAAAAGGGTACTCTTACTATCATTATTCAGAGTCCAGAGTTCAGGGTTAGGTTTTACGGAGTTTCGGTTGAGGGTTCCAGGGGCTAGGGTTGAGGGCTCACGGTTTAGGCGGTTTGGGGCCGGGTTCCGCAGTACTGTAGGAACCTGAGGAAGAGACATTGGCCCTGGTACCTTAGATCCTAAACCCCTAAACTCTAGGCCCTAAACCCTCGGCATGCCAATATATTCGGATTCATGCGGTTGATGACAAAAATCCTGCATTACCCAGGATAAGGAGTTTACCCTAATTCCCATCGTTTAGGGCCCTTAAGGTAATGCAGGATTTATGTATATCATCAACAGAAAAACCAAAGAGGCCCAGGGAGTCTTAGCCAGGCTCCCACATTCTGCAGCAAAGGCTTCCAGAGCTCAGGGCTTGTCGGAAGTTGGCGAGGTTGCAGGCATCCATGCACAGAGACAGGGACCTGAATAACCATAAAAAGAATTGGGGTGACACAGTATGATGTACAACATACAGGAGGGTCTACCAGGGGGATGTTATTCATTGTTCCGACCCCTATCTTAGCTAGCTTGGTTGGAAGGGTGCAGCTGAACGTTTACTTCCCCTGTCAACACTCTTCCTGTTGCTCAGATTTGGCTTCATGGTCCTATTTTATCGATGTTCCTCGCCACGGCTACCTGCTACCCGCCACATCTAATAGTCACAGTGCGAACTTTCACAGCTGGAGTGCGGCAGCAATCAAGAAATATCGCTCAACAACAGCTTGTAGTCCAGTAAGTAGCCATCAGACTTTTCCTTGCCTAAACTGGCCCAGCCCCTCTCCGTGAACCTGGTGGTTCCCAAGGTGTGCGTCAGTCGCTGAACTCGTTCTGGGTTTGTTTATCACATCTTAGGTGCGAGTGCCAGTTTAATCTCACTCCCACCGATGATCACAGCAGGGCTAGGTCGCTTGTATACGATGTTGTGATTTCCTGAGCCGCTTCCTGCAGCTTACCCCCTGGCCCAAAGAATCATTGAGACCCATTTCCACCTTCGGCTTCACCAAGGTTGTCCCATCGATCAAAGTACGCCCTAAACCCTAAACCCTAAATCCTAAACCCTAAGCCCTAAACCCTAAACCCCCTACTTACGGGATCCAGAGTCAGACAAGTTCATGATTCCTGGATAGGTCCTCGGAGCCATGCCCATGACCCGACGTGCTTTCAACCTGTCTGGTGTAGGGCTGATAGGGTTTATAGGGTCTACAGGGTTGTATAGGGTTTAGAGGGCTTATAGGGTTTAGGTAGTACATAGTCCCAGAGGGTCAATCCAATCTTTAGCTTGCGCACGACTCAGAACCACTGGAACCAAACTCCGATGCTGCAGGGGCAGCTGAGCAACGAAGATGCCGACCACATCGGCCGCTCGGAAGAAAGCAAGGGGGGGGGGGGGGTTCAGAGGCCTGTGGGGTTTGATGGTTCAGGGTTTTGGGGTTTCAGGGT